AGGTTTAATACCTATTTTGGTCCCTCTTTTTGGAGGGTTTGTTCAAAGTTGTCCTCCTTTTTTTCAAAAGTTCACTAACATCCTACTTCTCGCAAAAACAGTTTAAGTGGATCCTTTTTGCTTACGGCGTTAAAAAACTAACGGCAAAGTTGCTCTGCTGGCCAAAATTAAATGACATGTCCAATTAATCTAATTAGTTGGCAAGTTCAGCTAATAAGAGACTGCCACGTGGCAGTCCCCTTTCCACCCAAACCCTAATTCCCTTTTCCCCTTTACGCCTTATACTGCTGCTGTTTTGGAGTACCGGGTTGTTATTCACGATCCATTGGAAGTGTCTGTTGATGAAAAGAAGTGGCATAATGTAAATGGTCACGCTGTTGTGGATGCTCAACATCCAGTCAGGACATAAATTCCTATGCGTGTGCAGAGCAAATGTGGCTGTGCGTAAGGAGCTTCACACTCCTGCATCTGATCGATCTTGTACTCATTTGGAATTTGAGATTTCAGGAACTGGAGTTGCGTAAGTATTTGCTTGTGAGAATAAATCTGCGGTGATACACACTTGTTTATATAATTTCCTACATTTTCCATGTTCTTATGCCTGTTTCATTACACAGATATGAAACAGGGGACCATGTTGGTGTTTACTGTGAGAATTTGTCTGAAACTGTGGAAGATGCATTAAGGTTAATAGGGCGCGGCGTAGTAGCGTAGAGGGGAAAAGGGAATTAGGGTTTGGGTGGAAAGGGGACTGTCACGTGGCAGTCTCTTATTAGCTGAACTTGCCACCTAATTGGATTAATTGGACATGTCACTTAATTTTGGCCAGCAGAGCAACTTTGCCGTTAGATTTTAACGCCGTAAGCAAAAAGGATCCACTTAAACTGTTTTTGCGAGAAGTAGGATGTTAGTGAACTTTTGAAAAAAAGGAGGACAACTTTGAACAAACCCTACAAAAAGAGGGACCAAAATAGGTATTAAACCTTATAAAAACTATGTCGTTACATTGATATTGCAAAATATCTAGTGTTGGTTTTTGACTGTGCATGTTCCGCAATACTCGGTGGAATGATGCAGCTTCAAGTCTCGTGCTTCCATCAAAAGCGGAAGAATCTTTCTGAGCTTGGACCGCAAGCTTCTTGCCTCCAATATTAACTTCCCGCAAGGCTCGCTGCAACGTTATAATTTGCTTCAACGTTCTTTATTTTATTAAAAAATCATTTATTTTAATAGAAGATATTTTAGGTGTTTTGGATAGTGGGCCTGATCCATGAACTCTATAAATAGAGCACTTTCATCCTTTCCAAATCACATCTTTTTTCACACTCTTCTCTTCCTCTCATATTCTAATAATTCTTTTGTTTTCTCTCTTGTCTTTTATTCCTTAAAATATTCTGGGTTTATTTATTCTCTCTAAGAGATCCTTGCTAGTTCTGAGATCCTCAGAAATTCTGAGAAGTTTCTGTTGTATCCTGGGGGGCTTGCGCAATACACCGCGGATAAGTCCTTAAGGACAGTGATCTACACGCCTCAGGAAATATATTGTTCGTGATCTTTATTCTATTTTTGTCAGCTTTTACAACAATAAAAAAATAAATTGAGTTAGTTATGAAAAAATATATTATCTAAAAGAGTTATGGATGGAGGAGTTTCACGTAGCAATGATTAATTAAAAAAGTTTATGAAAAAGACGAAGATGTGATTTTCAAAAAGAGAATGGGTCACTATGGTGAAGAGTGTTGCATTTAAATATAGAGAATGAAGAAATATAATAGGGATGTAGATGATAATAATAATTTGGTGAACGATATCAAGAATGTGAGTGGAGTGATGAATCACAAGTGGTATTTTGACTAGATGGTACATAGAAGGGTGGGAAACGAGAAGAAAATGTCCATCTAAGAACATTCATTTTAGGTGCTAGCAACAACATTAACACCAAATTTTGCTTCTCTAAATTATCCACAATAGCAACGTTCTATTCAATCACAATGATTGGAAGTGATTGGAGTGGAAGGTGTGTGTTGAAAGAGGAAGTGGAAGGTGTGCCCTTAGTGTTAATGGAAGGTGTGTCCCTAGTGTGCCCCTTTCAAAGTGTGCCCTTAGTTTAGGGATTTATATTGGGTACAAACAAAGTCTCACATCGGATAAAATTAGAGATGAACATGAATTTATATACAGATAAAATACTTCCATTGATAAGAGGTTTAGATATTCTAAGTTTACTACTAATCGTATCACATAGATTAAAATGGTGAAAATTTGAAAGAGATTTGTACATCAAACTTTAGTGAATAGATGCATTAATTATTTTTACAACTCAAAATGAGTTGTAATCCGCGAGCTAACCCGGCCCACCATGGATTTGAGCCGAGTTAGGTTTGAAAAAAATGTAATTTTTTATGCGGATTATTATAAATAGATAAGTGGTACAAAAAATATGAAAAACTTATTTGTTCGTCTTTTGTGCTTGTTTTTAGATTACGTTTGGATTGTATGATATTTTTTATTTATTTTAAATTGTCTTTGGAGTTTAACATCATTTTAAAGTGAAATTTATTTAGATTTGAATTAAAAAAAATTATAATTTTTTAAATTTAAAAAACTTATAATTAGGTGAGTGAACGAGTCAACCCGTTTAACCCACTAATCTGTGGTGGGTCAGATCATGTTCGAATTTTTTCAGTTCGCTAATAAGTGAGCCTGATTGGGTTAACTCTCGTTAATGGAATTGAGGATTTCGAATTACATGTTTAATACGAATGTAAATCATCTAAAAGACGTTGTGTGATAATTACAACATGAATTAGGAATGAAATTGAGGATTTCGATACCTTGTCATTGAAGATGTGATTTCAGCCAACAATTAAAAACATTGTTATCCATTAACATGACTATAAAATTCATTTTGTCATCCTCCTCGGAAAATACAAGACCACATTGCAATATCATTTTCGAAGTTAAAACCTTGTGCGTTTACCAATGTAGAAGACTGATTTGAACCAAATATGATCTCCAAAAAAAGTATTATTACATGACATTTTGGGCCATTGAATCACTAAATTAAATTGTACAATAAAATTTTAAATAGAAAAGTATATAGTTATGTCGATGTATATTGTTTTTTAATACATTTATTGCTTTATTATTATTGAAATATACATGTGCAACAATACACTTGGTGTAATCTACCAATTATAATAGACCAAAATATAGCTTTAATTAGGGAAGTTTGCTTCATTAACTTCCACATGATTTATGCATATACTATGCTCATTCTTCTCATTACTTATATATTTCATTCTATATATATACATGCATCCTCTGTCTTCTGCACTGCGTGACCACCTCTCCTTTCAGCATTTAGGCTCTCATATGAAGCTATGTTCTTCCTTATTGCATTCTCTTATATTTCAATGCTTGTCATGAAGACATATTCAAAGTAAGCCTTGCTCTTCAGCCACAATGGGTTGCTTTAGCTTGAGAAATCGCCTTCTCAAGATAATTGATAGTTTTCTGGTATTTTAAGAAACCCAGAAACCAAAACTCAAAATTGTCTTCTGTAAAAATCTCTAAATACTTCTGTGTTGGCTTCTCAACATTCCTACTTGGCTTCATGTACTTAATCCTCTTCAGGGGAATCGAAACCTGTGAAAAGACATAATCATTTTCGAATGTAGATAATGTCAATGCTATATTTCGATTTATGAAGGAAAAGACTGAGACATTTATTTATTTATTTTTCTTTATCATGTCTTTAATTATAGCTACCAAAAACTTGAGGTCAATGAGATTTCGACTCTCCAAATTTAAGAAAAAAATATATATTTTAACCCTTCAAAGTTTAACGTGGAATAAAAAAAAAGTTGAGATTATACAAGAGGAAAACTTAGAGTAATTGTCTTAGTATTTTGGGTAAAAATAATGTCAATCCTTACATTTTCTATAATATTCTTCTAAAAATCCATCAGAAACTTTCTAAAAAAATTAAATATATTTTTCTTATTTATTAATCGCTACGTGTCGAAAAATGATAAGTGAAAGTGACATCTAAAAATAAAAGATATGATAGAACAAAAAGAGAGATATAAAGAGAAATATATAGAGAGAGAGGTTAGGTGTTAAGAATAAAGATGATCGTTTTATGACCTTATAACGGAGCCTGCACGAGTGGCCTTTACTAGAAAAGACTTTGATTGATCTCTCAGTGCAGAAGGAAACCTTGTCAGTGGAAATGAAGAGAAGACCTGCTAAAGGGCCTGATGTGGTTGACAGATAGCACTGTGAAGCTTTCAAGAGTTTCTCTCCATTTCTCACAGTGAAAAAATGGTTGAACACTTTCTTCACTCCACCAACCTGAACAATTTCAGCACCCAGACTCAACTTTCCCATAACAGTCTCACTTATAGTTGGCCCCAGTCTCACTGAAAGTTAATCAATGTCAAAATGTCAAAATGCTTCAAAGCTAGAATCTACTGTGTAATTAACCTCTGCCACCTTGTAAGTGCATGCATGTTTAATTTTACTCACCGTGTTCAAGTACTTCTTGCGAAAAGCCATCAACTTTCCTTCCAATAACAAGCTTGTTTATGAGAGAATATATTCTACCTGAAACATAATGTTCATCAGACCATTGCACATGATAAAATTTAACGTTGTACATGTGGGTTAATTAAGAAAAGAAGGTTTTATGTACTTTGCTTTGGTGTTGTGGTTGACAAACGGCATTCATTGGCAGGGTGATGATCAGGTAAGTAGTATCTGCTGAATGAGTTTTTGAGTTGATCACAGATAGCTACGCTGAGCGGAGTTCCAAGAAGTGTGGTGTTCATGGCTAAAATCTGTAATTTTGACTCTATTCAGAAGAGGTATTTAAAGAGATTAATATTTTCACTTTTTCTTTGGTTACATCATCAAATGTGATCATATATGGAAACAACTGGCATTGCACCTTCACGATGGTATAAGAGCCACGTGGACTGGTTAATTGGTTGCTTTTAGGGAAAAATATGCTACAGAAAAATCCATGTCATCTTTTAATCTCTATGGTTTTTTTTAAAGGAGTTGCTTTTGAAATTTAGAGAGAGGTTGTGTACCTTAATGAGCAAGTTTCCATTGTGGTTGATCAATTGACCAATATATTTTAAGAATATATTAATTAATTAATTAAAATTTTAAGAAATTAGTTATTTATTTCCATGCATGATTCTCAAACCCTTAACTATTCCACAAGCTGAATAGTGAATTTTCAATTTATCTTTCAATATTAAATTCAGGTTAATCAGTGTATCTAAAGTGTGTGTGTGTGTGTATATATAAATTTGATAGTTTTGGGTTTGAAGTTTGTTAAGATTGTTTTTTTACAATATATGTAAGATGATTTAGAGAAGAAAATATATTTAAATTGTTTATAGAATCGATTGGTAAATAATGTGTAATTATTAAATGTATTGGAATTATCACTTATAATTTGTTGTATATTTTAAAGTAAAATATTATATTTTCATTATTAACCTGATCTCTGTCCTTGGATTATGAAATATTGCAAGTTTTAATATATAAATAGACGAAAACTTTGTGATTTTTCGGCATTATTTTTTGTTTTATTTATCAGATTTAATATTGTGGATTTATTACATATTTTATTAATTTGTTTGTATCTATGAGTTTTGAATATTTAATTTTGATATTTTTTGTTTGTTCTTTTAGGGAGG